CGCCCCACCAAATAAATAAAATTAAGAAAACAAAAAACCGTAAGTGAAATAAATGGTACCGTACTGTATTCATTGCAAATATCTGCATATAAATGGACTTCTATAGTTCATACTTGTTGTTCAAGGGTCAACTGTAACTTATTATTGGGCCTATAACATATAAGTGTAATATAGTGTAATTGCCAACAGCACAAATGAGATGAATGTGAGCAAAGCTGTTAACAAGCTGAGGAAACGACCACAGATGGTAAAGTAATAATTGTTAACAATGCATTGTTAAGTTTGTAACATTAACAGATGTAGTATGTGGGGACTGCCTAAAAAATAATTAGATTTGGTACTCAATGAGATAACGTTTTTGATATTATTATACAATATTACATTTTCTACCAACCACCCTCTCCCACCTCCCAAAAAACCCGCAAAAAATCATCATCCAAATACAAGGAATCTTTGACTTTTATTTGCTGCTCTGACATCCAGGCTAAAAACTTATTTGGAGTTACTTCTCCATGGTCTATCCTGGGATTATGATTTCAGAAGCCCAGACTTTAAAAAAAGAGCCAATTTCTGATAGTGAAAATAAAAACAAGTTTTTTTTTCTTCTTTTTTAATCACAAAAAATAACAGCTACGTGGAGGATGTCTAAGAAAAGGAAAACTCACCTATAATCCCATTACCTCAACATAATCATTCTTTATTTTACAGAGGTATAACAATTTTTATTTTCATTTTTCAACTGGGATTATATTAGATACTTTAGCAGTTTTAATTATCATTTGATAGCTTCACATGTATTCAGGGATATATAAGCTTTCTTGGGTCTCTCTCCCACCTGCCCGACCTATTTTCTCATGGTGGACTTAGAAGGCCTGATGAGCTCAAACTTCCAGACTTGAAAGAGCTGGGGGAAAAAAAAAGCAAAATCTCTAACTTTGGTGAAGCAATCTAGGTGACCTCTGGACTTTAACTTGAATATATCGACACAATTTGAAATTGTTTAAATACAAACACAAGTTTCATCTGAGTAAGATTTATACTGTAAAATGCTAATTAGAAGTCCATAAATCCACCATACTTTCAATAGTTTGGAACAGAGCAGTACATTTAAAGTTTTAAAATTCAGATACTCCTATATCCATAGACCTACGCAGTACAATTCTTACCTCAATGCAAGACACCACCTTAAGCAGTAATTATGGGGGGAGAAAAAAAACCCCTCAACCTTGAATTAATCTAGGACAATAGCTGAAATGCGCATTTTATCAGTAGATACAAAACATCACAAATTGCTTAAAAACAGCATTTTCTCCATATGATTTTAATATATTTCTTTAATAAGGATTTCATGTAAAGCATAGTATTAAAACATTTTCTGTAGGTGTTAAAATGGTATTATGCCAATTTAGTATGGCCTACAAGATGAAGAGGAGTAAAATAATTTCAAGCCCATTGGGTTTCTAATGAAAGAACCAGTTTAACAGCTTTTAGCTCACTGACATTTATAAAGACTCTATGCTTTACTTCCTGTTTTGTTTTTTTTTTTAACTAATGTCTAGTGGGTCATTTCCAGGCTTGAGGTATTTGCTTCCTTCCTTGATATTACTCATTCAACTACTCAGTCAGATGCATAGTCTATTAGAGATGTAGTAGACAAATGTCTTCTCTCTGCATCCTGCGTAACTCAAAACACAATTCCAAGTATCCTATGTGTAGTTCCTTTTTTGGTTACTGGACACTTGGCATGTATAGCCTCATTAGAATGTAACATGCTTGGGGTGCCTGGGTGGCTCAGTCGTTAAGTGTCTGCCTTTGGCTCAGATCATGATCCCAGGGTCCTGGGATCGAGCCCCACATTGGGCTTCCTGCTCAGCGGGGAGCCTGCTTCTCCCTCTCCCACTCCCCCTGCTTGTGTTCTTTCTCTTGCTGTGTCTGTCAAATAAAATCTTTGGAAAAAAAAAAAGAATGTAACATGCTAAAACAGTATTTAACTATAATGCCTGTTTAAAATTAAGGCAACAAATTAAAAGCCCATCCATCACCATTTAGTAATAACTGCTTTGATACTGTTTTCAATGTAATTGCTTATTCTGTGTTACAATTTGTAGTTAATGTGCTGCTTAAGTAAACACTTGACTGTTTATTCATGTGACTACAATCTTTACTAGGTTTTAACACAACCAATGGCTGTTACTGAGCCTAGTGAAAATGGCTTAGTGTTAAAATACTTTAAATATATAATTAATTTGATAAATGTGAAAGGCACAACCTACCAACTTAGTATTCAATGAATAACTAGCTGATAAGGAGAAATCTAAGAGCCATTTAAAAAATAAAATCATGATTAATATTGAAGAACAAATAAGTTTACGTTGTGTTATAATTCAAAAGGATCATTGGTGTACTAGTCCAGATAAATTTGATGAAGAGAAGATAATTCAAGTACAACTAATGACAATCATATTGTAGATCTTGGCAAAGTTACCTTTCTTTGGGTTTGTTTCCTCATCTGTAAAATGAAGGAATTAAGCTATTTCATATCTAAAGTTTTTTTTTTTAAAGATTTTATTTATTTGAGAGAGAGAATGAGATAGAGAGCACGAGAGAGGGGACGGTCAGAGGGAGAAGCAGACTCACTGCTGAGCAGGGAGCCCGATGCAGGACTCGATCCCAGGACTCCAGGATCATGACCTGAGCTGAAGGCAGTCGCTTAACCAACTGAGCCACCCAGGTGCCCCTCATATCTAAAGTTTTTAAGATTTAGGAGTTTGTCTGGCTTTCCATAATACCTGTTCTTGAAAAGTTAAATTTTTGTCATATAGAATGTCTAAATGTTGGGGCACCTGGGTGGCCCAGTCGTTAAGTGTCTGCCTTTGGCTCAGGTCATGATCCCAGGGTCCTCAGATTGAGCCCCGCATCGGGCTCCCTGCTCAGCGGGGAGTCTGCTTCTCCCTCTCCCACTCCCCCCTGCTTGTGTTCCCTGTCTCTGTCATATAAATAAATAAAATCTTAAAAAAATGTCTAAATGCACCAAGAACATTCTATTTAAAGGACAGTTGATGTCAGTTTACAATTTTCAAAATTTATTTTCATTTTTCAAGCTTTCTTAAAGTGAGCAATGCCTAACATTTATAGAAACCACCAAGAAAAACTACTGCAATACATTCTTATGTAGGATACAGAAGTGGTAAATTTCAGTAAGTTAGAAGTCTGGGAAAGTGTATAGATTATAAACCAATATATTAAAGTTCTTTTTCTGCTTTATGTACTTGAAGATACAGGAGTTATGTACACTGCCAAACATTTCCCCAGCATTAGTGTTACCATCCAAATTCTACCATGTTGGTATGCATAAAAGACAACTATCAGAGTAAGTTATCTGAGGCTACTCTAGCCCAGGTTAAAAACTGTTATGAGTCTTTACAGATTAATTGGGTTGAGATTTTCATTACATTAGAAACATAAGATATTATATCAATCAATCAGTTCCATCTCTTCTTTTCTAATGAGGAAACTGGTCCAGAGAAGTGACTTGGCAAGGCCACAGATCTAATTGGTCTCAAGTGAGAAGAGAACTCAGATCTGCTCACCAATCCTTCTACATGATATTGTCCTCTGGATGCCACAGGGCAGGCAATGCTCTGAAAAGGTAGGAGAAATCTAAATGGATTATAAAATCTTAAAAGGGACATTACATGGTCCACCTAGTTCAATTTCACATTTAAATCTGGAATTTCTTCTGCAGCACTGTGGCAGATGTCATTCAGCTTCTCCCCAGTGATAAGATCCTCTTTGAACATTAGGAGGCAATCCCTTTCTGTCATGGAGAAATAATCAATTGGTTCTTTCTTACACTGAGCTCCAACCTGCCATTTTGGAACTTTCACCTAGTTGTACTGAGTCAAAAAGAATAAATTGTACATGACTCTCAAATATCATTCTTCAGTTACATAATTCTCCAGTTGCTCTTTTGGTTTTAGTTTGTGGGACTCTTTCCAATTTGGTAAAACATTCCAGGATTTACTCTAATTTGTGAATATCCTTTTATTGCATCCTGAAATGAAATTAATATTTACGGATGTGGTTTGACTCATCCTTTGTATGAGATTATTGCCCCATGATGAATTTTTCTGCACCCTAAAATTATAGCCCATTACAACCGGCTCACGTGTTATTTCTAGCAAACTAAAAATATCCAGGTTTTTTTAATCTATAAACTCTTGATAAATACAATATCATATTCCTATCAATGGCTTTCTATTGTATCGAGGATAATAATCAGGGTCCATGACACCATGTAGGATTGTGCCCCTAACTAATCGCCAGCTTCATCTTTATGTCATCTGTTCCCTTTGACTTCTGGCCAGGCTTTTTACACTTTAAATGCACAGTCCTTCCTCTAGGCTTCCACATACTGTTCCCTTCAGCCAGCAATGATTTCCCTTGGCCATCAGGTTTAGTCATCCTTCAAAGTTCATATCAAATATCACCTCTTTGTGCAACTCTTCCTTGCCCTTCTCCCCCATGTTCCCCTCCATAAAGTACAATTTACCTGTTACAATAAGCTACAAATCTCCGCCAGCCCTTATCCAAATAGTACTACTTGTGCAATAAGGTATCTGTCTCCTTGGTTACACTGTGAAGTCTATGTGGGCATGGTCCAGGTCCACCTTTATCTGGCATAGCGTATTACATGATTTAGACATTATTTCAATAAATATTTGTTGAATGAATGAATACTGAATTAGTATGATCAATATTTTAAATTTAACAGGTAATCAAAGAAAACACGTAGCTGAACTCTGGGGTGTAGGTTGTATAAAAAAAAGGAACTGTACAGGCTCCACAACAATCTTGATAAGGAAGAAACCTCTTCAAAAAAAGAAGTGATGATAAAATTGAGAAAACTACACAACTTTGTTCTACAAAGATGAATGGTAAATGTTTTCAGTCTTTATGGTAAGGGATGGGAAGCATGGAAGAAGGCAAACAAGCACAGCTGGGTGGTATATTTGTTGTTTTACTGTTAATTTGACACATCTGAACCAAAGCATTCACAATACTTGATATACTTTGAAGATAATCATATACTATAGTCTTAGACATAACCACAGAACAAGCAGAACAATTAAAACTACATAAGGCCTTAAAATATATCCACAGTGTGTATTATTTCAATATTCATTCATTTACAAATTAGACTACATACCGTTAATTTTATTTTTATTTTACTTTCATTGTTTTATTCAGGCAGGATTCATTCAAGGAAAGGCAACTTAGTTTTTGTGTGTGAGCTTTGTTTTTTATTACATTGGTTAATATAAAAGTTATGAATTAAATGTTCTCTTATCTCCTGTATCCATGAGTGAATCCATGAAATTCTCAGATAGTAATCTAAAACAATAGATCCTATTAAAAATAGCCAAGGTGAAAAACGACCAAATAGCCAGCCTGTTTGTGGTCTTGAAGAACATCTAACGGACTCTCAGGTTTTCTTATAATGAAGAGTACTGTGATTCTATGAGATTAGTCAAAATTTAAAACAACATTGCGTACAAAATCATTCTTGAAGCTCTAAATGCCTTTTTAAATAACAAAAATGAGAATTTTAAGTAGTTGCCTCACAGTACCAAACCTATAAGTCAGAACTAGTTAAAAGTCAGTGCTATCATGACTTCTCATTTACAAGGTAACTAGTTGGTAAATTAATAGATGGCATAAAAATTAAGACTTAACATCATTTTTTTTTAAAAGGAGAAAATGTATGATAACCAGGGAATACAGAAAATTCAATGTATTTTACAATAAAATAACTGTTTAAACCTCAATCCCTGTACAACAGGGTTTAGGTCATCTCTAGTGAACTTGCATGTTTTCATACAGTTTATTCTATTATGAGTACTTGAATTGTTTTAGATATACAGCTTTTTATTGAAAGAATATTACATTTGAATACCTGGATAAGATTTAGTACATTGAGATGTTTTAAAAATATCTATAAATTTGTTTGATATGCAAAAGCATTTGGCAATACTTTTACAGCATTTGATTTTATAGAATTAAAATTTCATACAGTACTCATTTTGATGTTTAAAAAAAAATTCACAGAAAAAATATAAATTACACAGCCTGACTGCATGATACTGTTATTTCCAGTTTCTAGTTCTGGTAATAAAAACCTTCATTAAGTCTGTTAACAAATCATTACCTGTACATTTATGAAGGCAACTGACATGATTTGCAAACAAAACCTTCAGGTTTTATGTTATTTACCAAAGAGTGCAGTTCAGCAAGAAAAGAAAACCCAGTGTGCAAATTTACAGAATATTTTACAAATTTACCAGTTCCTGTGACACAAACTGTTTCAACCTTTCAAGGTACTGTCCATAAAGTTCCACATCATTGTGACCTGCCCCTTCAACCCAGAGAGGCTCCACAGGTCTTTGGCAACGCTCAAACAGTGCGAGGCCATGTGAAAAGTCAATGACTTCATCTTCAGTCCCATGAATTATTAATACTGGGGAGGTTATCTTAGAGATTTTGTCAATGCTGTAAGAAAAGAGAAGGGTGTAGAAAGTCAATGAATTAGCTATGAAAAGGAACGTAAAAACAAATTTTCTTGCGATATCCCGACAGATCATTCAAATATCAGAATGGTCTTTGAATCAACCCAGAAGAAACGGATACCTCTTTTGGATTTCAAATAAGATTTGAAAGTCACTTTACATGCTCCTTATCTTAAGATTAATACCTGAGGAAGCTAACTTCATGCACTTCTGTTTCGAGGGAATCATTTGTTACTGTCAACCTACTGCACCTTTCTACAATGGTGAGCACAGAGGAACGTAGGTTGGAAGAAGAGGAGGAAACTAAGAAGTATTCAGGTATGTGCTAACTTTACACCTCTCTGCACTCATTTTTTCTCTCCCTTAATTTACTAAAATGACAGCAAAATTTTTTGTTGTTTTGGGGTATCAACCCACAAAAATAGGAAGAATGCAATAAAACATAAAATTTTGGAGCTGGAAAGCAGATAAATGTGTGGAATAAGAAATTAAAAGTGTAGGGAAAAGCCAATTTTAAGGGGATAGAAGGTAAAGTGAAGAAACAATCCAATTTATACCATGGGATACCCCAGGAGGCAAGGAATTGACAGGGGGATGAAGGCAGGTGATAGGAGTCTACAGAATTTGTTCAAAGTCTATTTAAGAAGTAAGTCCTTCCCTCTCCTTTAGGTTCTTTCCCCTTCTTTTTGTAGATTGGTAGCTGCACTGTATCCCAAACTGAAGGTTTTATGGGCCAGGGAATTGCGAGGCACAGTTTCAGGCAAGAGGTAAACACACAGATGTGTAAACACACATACTGCTGCTATGAACCCATTTTCTGTACTCAGTTCCCAGAATGCTGGCAGCCAGGCCTTCAATCCTCCAGGGAGGACTTTTAGAAAGACTCCTTGCTGGAGACTATGTACACTTTAAGAGGAAAGATATAGAAATAATGACACAGGATAGAATCCCCAAGTAACTGTTTGCCCAGATCACTGTATAGTGAAGCTCACACTCAACAAGACTTAACCATCTGCTTCAGATCAGCAATTTAGTTTCTCACTTTTACATATGAAGAGACAACCAAGAATTATCAGACATCAGAGAACACTTTAAGGTATCAGATCAAAACAATTTTAAAAAGGCAACTTGAAGGAGACAAACTATACAGAGACCTTATAAACAAATTATAACACTTAAAAAAAAATAAATCTTTCCAGAGAGAAAGAAGGCATTATAAAATGAGGATACAATCATGAAAAGGAAATCAATGAAATAATTCAAGGCTACATTTGGTAAGGAAAAATACTTGGGTATATTATTTGCTATCAAGTGTTCGCCAGTGTATGGACTCCTGAGAACCAAACTGAGGGTTCTAGAGGGGTGGGGGTGGGGGATGGGTTAGCCTGGTGATGGGTATTAAAGAGGGCACATACTGAATGGAGCACTGGGTGTTATACGCAAACAATGAATCATGGAACACTACATCAAAAACTAATGATGTACTGTATGGTGACTAACATAATAAAAAAAAATGTTCGGTAGTAAAGGAATTATAACAAATAAAAAGAGATTTATGTTCTTTTTCAAACAGTTTGAAGTTAAGTGCTGCTCTCTTTGTTGGTGGAGCAGAAATGAAAGAGGGAGCTGGACAGAGATGCAGGGTGGCAAAAGCATTACCCCATTACCCCAAATACTCCATCATTCTTACTTTTCCATTAAAAGCAGTATAATGCACATACCTTCCAATATACCATTATCTAAAACATAAAACAAACCCCAAATTAATGTAAAAACAAAAAACCTCCCACAGCCTGCTCATATACTCCCACCATTAGCTTCCCTGCAAAAGTGACGCCTTACTGGCTAATGATGAAAAAATTTGCTTTTGAAATGACCCTTGTTGTTTTTATAAAAAAGCAAGTGATGACTCTGGCCTTTGGCCCACCTATCATTCACAAAAAATTCTTTGTATGGCTGCCAATTGGGGAAAAGAAATAAGACTGAAATTTGCCAGCTTCTCACTGCTTGCCTTCTCCTTTTGAGAAAAATGGACCATCAGTTTTTTCCAATTATGAAGAGGCGCTACAGGAACTTTCATCTTGTCTTGAGAAGTAGTCCTTTCAAATTTGAATAAAACTGTGTTTGCAAACTTTGTGGTGGCAATACTTATTCAAGTTAATTTAAGACAGAACTTTTTTGCAATTCACTTCTTTTATAAATCAGCTATCATTAATTAGATGCCATGTCTCATTTTCCCTTTACTCTTCCTCTCCTCCAGTATTATATCTCACTGAATGGTACCATTATTCATTAGCAGCTCAAGTCAGAACCCTAGGAATTACATTCAAGTTCTTTTGTTTAGCATCCTCTATTCACTTTGACACTCAGTTCTGTCAATTTCATTTCTCAAATTCATTCTCTTATCTCTAATACTACTAGTTGGTGCCACTCTCTAGGGTATAAGGCCCTCAGCTCTTTTCATCAGGATTACTACTGTTCAAATATTTCAGCCTCCTGACTAGGGTCCTGCCACTACCCTTTTCAAAAATTAATTTTTCGCAATTTCTATAATATATATACAATAGAAGTTCATGGCTGAATGAACTGTATTACGAATACCTTAAGTGATGAAAAAAATGCCCTTAAAAGTTTCTTTGAATTAAACAATTTTGAATATTGATACTTACTTTGGGAATGCATCAAAACAGTAGGTCTTCTTGGTATCAGGAAAAGCAACACGCATTCCCGAAGTCAAAGGAGAATGAAGAATAACAGCAGCACTCTCATACCGAGCAGCAAGATCCACAGATGGTACTGTCCCTATACTTTGGCCATATATAATCACATTTTCAGGGCGAATGCCATATCTACAAAGTTCAGAAATTAAAAAAAAAAAAAAAAGGCAGAGAGTTGGACTGATATGAAATATTCATTCATTTTTTTTTCTTTTTTTAAAGATTTTATTCATTTATTTGAGAGAGGGAGAGTGAGAGAGCATGAGAGGGGTGAGGGGCAGAGGGAGAAGCAGGCTCCCCACTGAGCAGGACCCTGGGATCAGGAGCTGAGCCAAAGGCAGATGCTTAACTGACTGAGCCACCCAGGTGCCCTATAGTCAGTCATTTTCTAAGGACTTAATCTTAGAATGACTTAGAATGAGACAATGTCAACTTTATATTTAAAATATATTTCGTAGCCATCATTATCATATTTAATGCTACAATAAAATCTATATTATTAGCTTATTTCATCTGTTGGAAAAATAAATGCGGAGTTCTTTTAAAACTTCAAACTTAAATGAATTCATTAAATCATTTATGCAATTCAATGTAGCATACTGTTGGCTAAATCCTGAACATATTACATCACAAATTATTTTAATAGATTGATGTTTAATAGACATTGTCTTATTTTCCATTCAATATATAAAAGTTCGTTGTCTAGACATGAAAAGTGGCTCATTTTTAAAAGATTTTTATTTAGGGCGCCTGGGTGGCTCAGATGGTTAAGCATCTGCCTTCGGCTCAGGTCATGATCCCAGAGTCCTGGGATGGAGTCCCGCATCGGGCTCCCTGCTCCTTGGGAGCCTGCTTCTCCCTCTGCCTCTCTCTCTCTCTCTCTCTGTGTCTCTCATGAATAAATAAATAAAATCTTTAAAAAAAAAAAAGATTTTTATTTATTTGTCAGAGAGAAAGAGAGAGAGAGAGCACAAGCAGGGGGAGCAGTAGGCTCCTCACTGAGCAAGGAGCCCGATGTGGGACTTGATCCCAGGACCCCGGGATCATGACCTGAGCCGAAGGCAGACGCTTAATGACTGAGCCACTCAGGCATCCCTCATTTTATTTTTTGAAGTTGGTCATAGTGATGAAAAGTACTACATATGGTCTGAAAGCAAATTACTATTTTTCTTGAAAGTTGCCTTTACTATGGACTAATGATTGGAAAGATGAACATATGAAAGAGAATTTCAAATGCCTTATGATTCAGTTAATTATGAACAAACTTCATGCTAAAATCTCAAGTACTGCCTTTACCTAACCCTTTAAAAATGCTGCAGATTTAAATATGTCAACTCATTGCCTCAAATATATCATATATAATCTATGTTCCAAGCACTGTTACTTGTCTATGGTATAACTGTCCCAACTGTAAACTACTGCAAGTAGAAATGAAGTGCTGTAGGAGCTAACGAATATGGGGTTAAGGGTTAGAGTAAGATCAAATATGCTTTTCCACTTTAGAAGTCTGAGAGCAGTCACTTCTGGATGCTAACGGCCATTTGCACAACAGCATCCGGTCTTTTGAAAAGGTAATGGAGCTTTCCAAGTATCTAAACATGAAAAAATAGCAAGACAAACCCCATGTGCTCCCTCTGGCCCTTTCCAGGGGCCCAGGGCTCTTTGAACTATCCAGATAATGACATACTTCCCCATAATTTCTTCCAATCATTCCTACATAAGCATTTAGATATGCCCCAGAGGTTGGGTTCCATCTACTCCAGACTAACTCTAAATGTAAGTAAACTTAGAAAAGTCTTTTTCTTTACAAAGACCTGATTGTAATTCTTCATAGGAGTGAAGAAGTTATGAAAATGAACATCTGCAGCATCAGAATTAACTCTTGAGGCTGTATGGTTGCTATTAGCCGAATAGCAGCACTGTTGGTGGCGATTATGGGTTTTAGGCTAATGTTAGCAATGGCAAGGCTCCAGAGTAGAAGCAGATGCCAATTTAGCATCAGAGAACTCAAAGCAATAACAGAATTTCAGAATAGTACAACTTAGAAAGGACTTTAAAGACCACCTAATCTAGTTCAGCTGCTTATGAAGCAGATGTTCAAAGTCAGAGTAAGTCAGTGGCAGACCTATAATCAGAACCCAGGTACCCTGACTGGTACAGTCCAGTGACTTTTTCATTATAGCACACAGATAATGAGCTCAAAGACTACTGTACTATTTAGAAATTCATATATTCTGCCCTTGTTTCTCATTCATCAAGTATGTGTGGCCATCAACTATGTTTAAAAAGATGAATTAAGTTAGGACTAGAAATTATTTTATAAAGTTTCCTTCAAATTGACATCAGACAAGATGAAAAATAGGAAAAAGTTAACCGGGTGCCTGGGTGGTTCAGTCGTTAAGTGACTGCCTTCGGCTCAGGTCATGATCTCAGGGTCCTGGGATTGAGTCCCGCATCAGGTTCCCTGCTCAGCGGGAAGCCTGCTTCTCCCTCTCCCACTCCCCCTGCTTGTGTTCCCTCTCTTGCTGTGTCTCTCTCTGTCAAATAAATTAAAAAAAAAAAAAAAAAAAAGGAAAAAGTTAAATGCCTACAAGAGTGGATTTATTTATTTATTTATTTTAACATAAACTCCGAACACTGAATTGGATATTAGTATGTTCTGGCTGAATAAAGTTATCTTTTCATCTTATGAGAAGTATTAATAATGAAGGCTATCTGCTATTACTTAGCATCCTTAAAAACTGTTCTAATACACTGAAGTTATACTTTAAAAAGAGTGAGTTGTATCTCAATAAATGTCATTAAAAATATTTATTTACTTATTTATTTTTTTAGAAGAGTTTATTTATTTATTCAATGTAGACAGAGGGAGAGAGACAGAAGCAGAGGGAGAAGCAGGCTCCCAAGGAGCAGGGAGCCTGATGCGGGACTCGATCCCAGGACCCTGGGATCATGATCTGAGCCGAAGGCAGACGCTTAACCATCTGAGCCACCCAGGCGCCCATTAAAAATATTTATTATCATATTTTCCTGACAGGTACTATACTAGATTCAATTGGCTGAGTCTGGAAAGTGGGAACTTATTTATTTTTGTTTGTAGGACTGAGGGGACTGATATTATACCTGAAGCAGATTTTGACTCTGGTCATTTAAGGCAGTTTTTAAGTTTACAAAATTTTACCATTCCCTGCCCCCCACAACTCGTTACTTACTTCTTATAATACCATCTTTTTTAACTCATCAGATATGTTTTCATATTATTTCAAGTGATTTAAGAATCCCCTTTATATGAAACTTTGCAATGAGAATATAGTTTTATTATATATCTTATAGGAGAAAATACTTAACTTTTAAAAGTATTTTTTTTTTAAAGATTTTATTTATTTATTTAATTGACACAGAGAGAGAGACAGCGAGAGAGGGAACACAAGCAGGGGGAGGGTCAGAGGGAGAAGCAGGCTTCCCACCGAGCAGGGAGCCCGATGTGGGGCTCGATCCCAGGACCCTGAGATCATGACCTGAGCTGAAGGCAGTCACTTAACCAACTGAGCCACCCAGGCGTCCCTAAAAGTATTTTCTAAAAAAGGTTATGCCTGCTAACAAAATTGTGGAGGTTCTAACTGAAACCATTAATATTTATTTATTTAAAAGATTTTATTTATTTATTTGCCAGAGACAGAGGGAGGGAGAGTACAAGCGGGGGGAGTGGCAGGCAGATGGAGAAGCAGGCTCCCTGTTAAGCAAGGAGCCCGATGGGGGACTCGATCCCAGGACCTTGAGATCATGACCTGAGCCAAAGGCAGAAACTTAACCATCTGAGCCACTCAGGCGCCCCTGAAACCATTAATATTTAAACATTAAATTAGAAAAAGTCCTTTAAGCTTTAGTCTAAAATACTTTGGCAATCAGGTAGCTTATCAGTGGACAATATGAGGAATAACTTGAACTAATAAGCTATCTTTGTTGTACATGAACCATCTGATAAAAAAAACCCTGAAATCTACAAAACTGAGATATTTTTCAAATTGGTGAGTAGGAAAGATTAAAGCAATTTCTAGTTCTCAAAAATATATTGTTATAACCAAAGAATAACTGACATGGTAAGAGAATTTGCTTAAATGATTTATCATAAAATTTCTTTTGTGGCGTGAGATCATCTCTCCAAATTTTATCAGTCCAGAATGCAAAGTAAAAAATCTCACTTTTATAGAATGCTTTAAAAATAGTTCCAATAAATTATCTGTAAGTCATACTTCTAAGAGATTACATAAAATAATGCAAACCCTGGCTTATGATTTTAACAAAAACAATCCAGCCTCTTATACTCTTAATGATAAAGTAAATCATTAGGTAAGTCATGGTTAACGCTCATTCCCTTGTTTATTCAAAGTTGCAACATCACACTCCACATGTTTATAAAACCAAATATTTGTCATTGGCTTAAATTTTAAAGAAAATCACACACATGCACTAACAGACACAAATGAGATCTGTCTTAAAAACTATGCTATTTTTGGGGTGCTTGGGTGGCTCAGTCAGTTAAGCGTCTGCCTTCGGCTTAGGTCACTATCCCAGGGTCCTGGGATCGAGCCCCACATCCGGCTTCCTGTTCACAGGAGGCCTGCTTCTTGCTCTCTCCCTGCCTGTGCTCTCTCTCGCTATCTCTCTCAAATAAATAAATAAAATCTTTTTTTATAAAGATTTTATTTCTTTATTTTGACAGAGAGAGACACAGCGAGAGAAGGAACACAAGCAGGGCGAGTAGGAGAGGGAGAAGCAGGCTCCCCGCCGAGCAGGGAGCCCGATGCAGGGCTCGATCCCAGGACCCCGGGATCATGACCTGAGCCGAAGGCAGACGCTTAATGACTGAGCCACCCAGGCGCCCCAAATAAATAAAATCTTAAAAAATAATAATAATAAAATCACTTGAAAAAAAACATTATTTTTAAAAATTTAAAATTACAATCTAAAAGCTTAAGTCTTAATAGGTATATATTGGTAAATATAATCTCAAGTACTTCAAAACGTGTTATAAAAACTATTTTTTATATAAGACAATTTTAGTCAACCATCATAATAGATGTGCAAAATCATTCCCAATCATGATTTACCTTGTCCTAAGGGCAAGCCAAGCAGCTTCGATATCTGCATAGAGGTTCTTCTCTGTTGGTTTCCCGGAACTTGCACCATATCCAGAATAATCATATGAGAATATATTACAATTAATCCGTGATCCCAGTCCTATGTAAAAGCTGCTCATCTGACCAAGATCAACAGCATTTCCATGTGAGAAGAGTAAAGTATATTTGGCATTGGGTGAACAACGCACAAACATGCAGGCAATTCTGTTGCCTTTACTGGTTCTAGTCATGAAACACTCAATAGCATCTTTTTCTCTAGAAGAATATTGCCAGTCTGCTCGTTCTGACAGATGTAAAGTCCAGCGGCTTCCACTTTCATCACACATCAATGTGTAAGTAGGATCAGGTGGCAAAAATGCTAATTTTGAAGCAATTTTCCCAGGGCAAGGTGGACAGCAGAAGAGGCAACATAGCTCACTAAATGAAAGATTATTCATCTTCTGAAAAAGAAAAGGAGATAGCAAATGTTTTAATTATTGAATATGGATTCTGTATTTTCATACCATAGAAGGTTAAAAACAAAGGCACTGGTAAATTCTACTGCTGCTCAGTGTGGACTGCTATTATTTCAAGTATCCTTTGCCTGAACAGATTTTTGACATCATTCTAGGTATAACTTAAATCCTCTGGTGAGGCAAATATTCTTGACCAGGAGATACTAAACTGTTACAGGATGTTTCAAATAGTAGTGATTATGTAATATTTAACCAAAATATGAAAACATGAAGAGTAGAGGTAATATCTGTTATTGCTCCATAGATAATAGCATAGGAGGTATGAAGTATCTTTAGAATAGTGTGTAATTTCTGGGTTAAGTCAGTGAAAATTCTCAGAATCTCATGTAAAGGTAGGTATTTAACACGATACAGTAAATATGTAACGATACCATATACATTGTTCATTTTCATGAATGAAGTGCTTGCTATCTGTCAGGCATTGTGTTAGGTATTCTATGTGTATTACCACATTTAATCCTCAAAACAACCCTGGTTGATCTGAGACCAGAAACTTGGCACAGTGTGGGGCAGCAGTGGAGCCAGGATTTGACAACAGGCTCAACCACTGTCCTACATCCCTGGGCTACACTGCCTCAGAGGCTCAGAAAACTATTTGTCTCAGAAGCCTATCATTTTAGCCATAGTGCCAGTGGCTCAAATAACCTATAAAACATTAAAATATGTCTATATATAATTATTGCCCAAATTAAAAAGGCTACAATATGAAAGCTACAAAAAAAGTATAAAATCTGCTAAAATTTCCTATATGGTTACAAGGGAAGGAGTGTGTATAAGGTTTGAAGTCAGAGATAGCTGGGGTGGAATCCCAACTCTACCACTTACTAGCTGTTTGCCCTTAGGCAAATTGTTTACCTTTTCGACCCTCACTGTCTTCCTAAGCAGATGAAGTCAATGTCCGGTTGCGAAGAACACACACAATGATGTAGTTAGGGCATATACTACAGCAACGGCCATACAGATAGCACACTTAAGGATGGTCCACTCTCTCCTGTCTTTTTCATTAATATTTTTCAAGTACTTAGTTGATATTAAGTCAGGAACAAAAAGAGAGTAATACTTGTTTGCCCTACTAGCATTTCTTTTTATCTTGTCCTTTTTCTCAAATTCCTATCTCTTTTTAGCAGATGATTGCTTAGTTCCAGGAAGAAGGCATTCAAAACAAACACCTGCTAGAGATTTGGTGGCACTTAATTTTCTACAAAAAAAATCTAAACAGGAGGATGGAAAAAAATATACATCATACCATTATACCAAATGTAATTATATATGAGAAGAAATCACCTCAGGAGACTAAAGTGAGATTATGTGGAAAGAAAGAAATGTCCTTTTCACTCACTACAGAACCAAAATCTTGTTCATATGCTCAACACAAATGTATTGATTTCCCAAAATCTAGTCCATATGCTCAACAGACATGTTCTAACTTCCCAGTGCAAACTAATTAGGTAGAAAGAAGGAAAAACACCACAGCTAGAGAAACAAAGACAGGAGTGATATAAAAGGTTTTAAAAGAGTAAGAGAAGGGAAGAAAGTGTCTTTTGGATAGTAGGAAACACCTTTGCTTGCTATTCAACCTTCAAAAAAATTAGCATGAATAAGTTAATGTCATAGTGTAGTTGGAAAAAGAGTCTGATAAAACAGAAATGACAATGAGGTGTCATCTTTAGTGGTAACTCTCACTGGCTCTGTGAAAAACTGTACTGAGAAGGATTCTAAGGGCATATGCAAGGCTTGGCAGGGAAAGAACATGTCATAAATTAGTGATGTGTACTACAGGATTTGACTACAGATTATCCTGGTCATGAGGATATAGGACCTGGTGAAGAGGATGGCAGGAAAGAAAGTTCAAAGGGTTAGTTTAAGGGAAGGAGATGACCTAGAAAAAAAGATGAGTTATAAGGCACAATATTATCAATGCTATCTGTTTAATAATCTGTCTACAGCTGTTTCTTGCTTCCAATTACCTTACAACCAGTAACTGCTGACCCTCAAGAGTCTGTTAAAAGCTTGGTTGATAATAAGTTAAGCTGTACGTAGCTTTATGTTCCTATAATTTGCCTCTTGAACATGAAGACTTTTATATATAATAAAGTAATTTAAAAATAAATCTGGCTTACTGAATATACGTAATACTGCACAGTTGCTTCTGGGGATGAACACCAAAGGAGAGAAGCAGAAGGAGAAAAGGTACAGTGCCAGGATCTAGTCTAATGAAAGGACAACCTGACCTTTTTTTTTTTTTTTAAGATTTTATTTGAGAGAGAGAGAGTGCACGTGTACGCATGAGACGAGGGGCAGACGCTTTAACGGCTGAGCCACCCATGCGCCCAACACCCTGACCTTCTTAATGTCAGTAGAAGAAATTATTCCCACCTCCACAGCCCTAAACCAGGTAACTGGTGTCCATTTAATAATAAAAACTTGCAAATTATCACTTTTCTAATAAGAGGCATGGCAGAGGACAGCAACCTAGACTTGCTTAAAAAAAAGTATACATAAATAAACCTAAGTTTTAGTAATATGAGAGCTAAACAAGTTATTGAGGAAAAAAATTTATTCTTGAAATTTAAAAAAACATTGAAATATCTTGTTAAATTTGGGTAATTTTAAGTCCCATTTGTTTTATATAAAATTCACAGAATAAAAATATATCATTTATCAGTTATTTCTTGGCTAACAAAATCTTGAAGAGACAAGGCAGTGAATAATTGTAGGGGGAAAATGATAAACATCTCAAAGTACACAACAGCAAAAGACAGATAAATTATTTAATTTAGAGCAGAATTTTTGGACCAGACAAAACAAGGATTTAAAATAGAGGCGCCAGGCTGGCTTAGTCAGTGTAGCATGTGACTCTTGATCTCAGGTTTGTAAGTTCAAGCCTCACATTGGGTGTAGAGATGATTACTTAAAAACAAAATCTTTTTACTGTTTTTTTTTTTAAGATTTTATTTGTGTGAGAGAGAGAGAGAGAGAGAGAGAGAGAGAGAGAGAGAGAGGACAAGCAGGGGGAGCAGCAGAGAGAGAGGGAGAAGCAGGCTCCCTGCTGAGCAGGGCGCTGGATGTGGGACTTGATCCCAAGACCCTGGTATCATGACCTGAGCCAGAGGCAGATGCTTAACCGACTGAGCCACCCAGGTACCCCTGAAAAACAAAATCTTAAAAAAAAAATGAATTATAATAAACCAGTTTTAAACAAAGAGAATACTTAAAGATGTAATGGAAAAGTGTCATACAGAAAAATCCAACTGGAATCCCTGATACAGAGAAATCAGTATCTAAAACAAAGAACCTGATGAAATGGGTACAAGAATCAATAACTGAAGAATGTATTAGCGAGCTGAAAGATCCAAGAATTCCCAAACGGAATTTTTCAGGATGAAAGGGATGAAGATAGAGAAAACATAAAAGAAAATTTAAGGTAGAAGTAGAAATACCAGTATCAATAATCTAAGAATTTCTCAGAATTAAAGAAAAAATTCAGCCTGAAATTGCTCAGAGTGCCAAACAGGTATTTAAGAAAATTCTCACAGGCTAGGCAAATTATAGTAAATATTAAGATTGCCAAAAACAGGGCGCCTGGGTGGCTCAGATGGTTAAGCGTCTGCCTTCGGCTCAGGTCATGGTCCCGGAGTCCTGGGATCGAGTCCCACGTCGGGCTCCCTGCTCCTTGGGAGCCTGCTTCTCCCTCTGCCTCTCTCTCCCTCCCTCTCTCTGTCTCTCATGAATAAATAAATAAAATCTTTAAAAAAAAAAAAAAAAAAAGATTGCCAAAAACAAAAATATGAAAGTTTCTAGAAAGAATGCCTACAAAAGAACAAGAACAAGATGAACATATCTGACTTTTCAAAACCAACACTAGAAATGAGAAGATACTGGAGATAGTTTTAAAGTGAGAAAGAAAAAAAAAACAAAACTTTCAACACAGATAAAATAACATTATAAGGATAAAATAAATTTAGCTGCAGGCATACTAAAACTCAGAAGGCTTACCAAACCGAGACCCTCTTTTTTTTTTTTTTTTTTAAGATTTTATTTACTTATTTGACAGAGACCCCGCGAGAAAGGGAACACAAGCAGTGGGAGAGGGAGAGGGAGAAGCAGGCTTCCCGCCGAGCAGGGAGCCCGATGCGGGGCTTGATCCCAGGACCCTGGGATCATGACCTGAGCCGAAGGCAGACACTTAATGACTGAGCCACCCAGGGGCCCTGAGAATTACATTTTTTGAAGATTTTATTTATTTATTTGACAGAGAGAGACACAGAGAGAGAGGGAACACAAGCAGGGGGAGTGGGAGAGGGAGAAGCAGGCTTCCCGCCGAGCAGGGAGCCCAATGCAGGGCTTGATCCCAGGACCCTGGGATCATGACCTGAGCCAAAGGCAGATGCCTAATGACTGAGACACCCAGGTGCCCCTGATTACATCTTAATAAAGCTGTTTACTGTGGTGCCTAGCTGGTTCAGTTGGTAGAACATGTAACTCCTGATATCAGGGTTGTAAGTTCAAGCCCCACACTGGGTACACAGATTACTCAAAAACAAAATCCTTAAAAAAAAAAACAAAAACAAAAACTTTTTACCTTCCTCACCCCCCACCCCCAACCAAGTCTATGGAAAGCTAAGGTAATTTTGCAAAGAGCAAGCTAAAGTATGTATGTATTTGCAGAGTAGCTGGGAGTTTTCTCTCCCAGGTATTGAGAGACTACAAAAAGCCAAAATAATAAAGGCAGACTAGTGCTGAAAAAGAAACAAACAGACCTAGTTGTAAGAGAATACAGAGCTTATAAACAGACCTATGTATAAATGATAATCTATGACAAAGCTGGTTTCTCAAAGCAGTAAAAAAGGATGAATTCTTTAGCAGGATGTGCTGGAAAAATTCACATATTTACACAGGCAAAAGTAGTTAGAGCCCTACATCTC